ACGACGTACGGATAGGGTTAAGTGGTGGCACAGAGTTCCCAACGTCGTATGGATACGATAGTAAAACACAACGTACGGATAGGGTTAAGTCGTATCCATACAACGTGAGGGACTCTGTGCCACCACTTTCCAAAGAGGCAATTTACTCGTTAGTCCGATCCGTACGCTTTGCATAGCAGTCTGTCAAAATATTTTTTGGGGGAAATTATACTGAAAGTTTCAAAGAGATCTACGTACTAGATGCATTCTAAAATGTGAAGAATGCAACCTCGGGGGTACAAAATGAGCCCAGGGCGTACGGATAGGGTTAAGCGGGTAACAATTTAAACCTAGTTCCAGGACAACTAAGTTTTTATTTTAGTTTGGGTTTGTTTGGGTTTGTTTTTTTGTGCGTTTAAGTTTTAGTACGAGTTTTGCTGTACTTGCAACAAAATCAGGTCATACCTGCGCCAAAGATTACAGATGTTGCTGGAGAGCAACATACACAAAGAACAAACCAGAGGGTGGGATGAGATAAAGGCCATAGATGTTTGATAGGAAAGAATGAGTAAACCACATCAGAGCACCCGCCAACTCTCCACAAAAAACTGAGATTAGTTTTAGTTTTAGAAGAGGTTTTACGACGCTCGTAACTGCATAAGGGCATATGAGCGCCAAAAGACTAGAGGTGTTTCAAGAGAGTAACAAACATAAAAAAAGAAGAAGGGGAGATAAGGACGATAGATGTTTCATAAGAAAGAAGAAGCAACCCACATTAGAGCACCCGCCAACCACCCACAGAAACTGAGAGACCGGTTCAGATAAGAAAAACATGTTTGTGTGTTTGCCTGTTTGTTGGCATGTTTGTTGTTGTTTTAAATGTAGGTGTCTTTGAGTCCCCACCTACACAATTTAGATAATTTAGGAGAAGACAAAGAGATATTTTTTTTTAATAGCTAACGAGAGAGAAAGAGAGACAGAGAGAGACAGAGAGCGAGAGAGAGAGAAAGAGAGAGAGAGAGAGAGACAGAGAGAGAGCAAGAGAGAGATAGGGCGTGGCAGACAGAGAGAGAGACAGAGAGAGAGAGAGAGAGAGAGAGAGA